CTGGAAAGTCCGCACACGAGGACTCTCCCTGCGACTCTCTCCAAACCTCCTGCGCCAGGAGACTTTGCCCAAAGTCTGCCAAGGCTTCCCGCAGCCATGGCCTGGGCACCCAGCCTCCGTCAGGGCCACTCTGGAAAAGCGGAGGCTGACAAAGGAATTCACCGTTAGTTCCAGCCAACACGTGAAGATAGGCTGCTGACTCCCATTCTTAGAGCATTTACTTTAAAACCTTAAAATTGTAAAGTTCTTTCTTTGTACTTTTTTTTTTTTAATCCTCATCTGAGGATATTTTTTCTGTTGCTTTTTAGAAAGAGTGGATGGGAGAGTTTGGGTAGGGGAGAGTGTGTGCATGAGAGAGAGAGAGAGAGAGAGAGAGAGAGAAGCATTGATCTGAGAGAGATGCATTGATTGGCTACCTCCTGCACAAGCCCTGACTGGGGCTGGAGAGCGAACCTGCAACCAGGTATGTTCCCTTGACCTGGAATCGAACCTGAGAGACCGCAGTTCTCAGGACAACACTCCAACCACTGAGCCACACGGGCCAGTGCTTCCTTTGTTCTTTTGAGATGTATATGTATCTCCTACAAACCTGAAGTTTTTTGTTTTTTTTTAAGAGAAAGTTTATTTTAAAAGTTACAGACGTGTAGAAGCGAGCCAGCTGGGCTGCGCAGTGGGCAGGCTCAGGGGATGAGTTACAGCGGCAGAAGGGCCCGTGCAGCTAAGGGAGAAAAAGGCAAAGGTAATGCCCCTGGGGAGGCGGGAAGGGCCAGGCGCCAGCACATTCCCTCGAGGGAAGGCCTGCCTTCTTTTTAACTTTGTCCACGTCCTGGGGCCAGCAGCGCGCCCTCCTCTAACATTGCTGCCCCAAGCGGATGGCTGGTTATCATCCGCAGAAGCCTCAGGCCACCCCAACGGCTGGCCTTCTGCAAAGTAACTGCCTGTGCTCACAAAAGCCGAGAGAGATCTCTGAACGCACGACCCCGGCCAACTGAAGGAGACTGAAGATGCTTGACCACTGAACACATGCGTACTCCTGGAGTTTCTTTCGCTACAAAGCAGAACATATTGCTTCTCGAGAGCTGGAAACTCTCCATGCTCGCCCCTCCAGTCATCACTCCTGGGCACCCCGGCTGCAGGACCAGCCCCACGCCCTGCGGCCACCAATGGCCATGACGTCCCTGGAGCAGAAGCCCCCTCTCCCTGGCCCAGGTACTTCTATTACCGCCGGTTTATGAGGCTTCCATTCCACGTCTGCCTCCAGCTGAGTTGGGGCTGGGCTGGGAGGGCGGGGTTATATTGAATGAAACTGAACTCGAGGGGCCCAAGCCTTAGCTCAGCCTTTCCTCATTATGGGGTTCCGTTGGATTGGGGCTCCTCCATGACTAGTGAGAACTGCCTGTGGGTTCAGAAGGCCCTCGGTGTGCACGTGGCCGCCTGCTTGCTGGCTACACAGTGGGAGCTGGAATGCCTGATTCCTGAAGGCTTAGCCCACTGCACCCTTGTAGCCTCCCCAGGTCAAGGTGGCAGTCTGGGCAACGGAGACCAACAAGACACATTTTCAGGTTGTTTTATATTCCTTTCCCCCCCCCCCTTTTTTTTTTTGCCCTAGCCAGTTTGGCTCAGTGGATAGAGCTTTGGCCTTCAGATGGAAAGGTCCCAGGTTCCATTCTGGTCAAGGGCACATGCCCGGGTTGCGGGCTTGATCCCCAGTAGGGAGCATGCAGGAGGCAGCCGATCAATGATTCTCTCTCATCACTGATGTTTCTATCTCTCTCTCCCTGTCCCTTCCTTTCTGAAATCAATAAAAATATATTTTTAAAAAATTCCTTTTTTCAAACGTCCAGTTCATTGCATACCAACAGTTGATGACGACCTCCATGCTCCATAGGCGGACGCCATGTCCGGGGGCCGTGGGCACCGTGAGTCCTGTGGATCACATCCAGATCCAAAGCCCTTCGATGGCGCGGCAGATCTCACCCGTCGCTCAGTCACCGGAAAGGTGTTGGTTCTAACCCTGCTTCCGTCGGATTTCCCGCCCTCTGCTGCAGGGAGTCTGCTGGAGCGGCACAGGGAGCTCTGTGCAAGCCGCTGAGGCAGGACCTGGGCCGCCCGCGGGAGGCCCTGACATCCTCGCTGTGTGCGCTGTGAAAGGAGAGGCCTCCTCCTCACTCCTCGCCTGGTAGCAGCGCCTGTAGCTGCTCGTAGGTTCCCAGAAGACATAGATGTTCAAACAAGCACCCGGGTCGGCTGTGGAAGGCACATGGTGACAGGAAATCCAGGTCTCCAAGCTGTTCCTTTCTTTTCGGGCAAACATCTTTAAGGGACTGAAAAGCAGAGGAGTTCCTTTTCCTAGTTTCCTTGTAGACGTGAGCAGACGGTTGAGTCAGGCCTTCACAGGACTTTAGGACAACGCTGTGTGATTAAACAAGGTGGACCGTTATCTTGCCTAATAGGCTGGGAATCTTCACCCCGCGGGGCAGAGCTCCAAACAGCTCATTTTAGTCCAGGGCGTTCCGTCTTCCTGGGTGCAATTCCCTTCCCCATGGCTGCTGACTCTGAATAGCTGTCAGCGAGTTCCTCTTCCCTCTGGCCAGCCTTCACGCACTGGTGGTGGAGCTCATGGAGCTGGGACTTGGAAGGGGCTGTGGCAGCACTGTCCTGCTATGGATGCTCTGCGGGAAGGGCTCGCAGGAGGAGGGGCCGGTGGGAGGAGAGACCCTCAGGGCAACACTGTTCAACAGCGTGCTTGGAGAACTCTTGAAGTGGGTTGGATGTCAACCTGGTGGGCACAAAGTTTTTATTTAATTTTTCTTTAAAAGTTTATGTGGTGATGGTGTGGCTTTCCAGAATGGGCAAGGTAATGAACAAAGCTACTGAAGATGAAGGGATTCTTTCACGATTTCCTGCTGCTGAGAATAATAAACGTCTTGTAACAAACGTGATGATGGTTATTTTTGTTGCCCTGGATTGGTGCCAGGTGCTCAGTTCGGGACTAAGCCACCCACCTTCAATCTGCACAACAGTAATGACATATAGGCCTACACTTCATTCCTGTTCACGTGTTCTATGTTAAAAGTTGTGTTTAATTTCTAAAGATTAAAAAAAGAAAAAAAATGGTGCTAAATTTTACCCCTGAGCATGCTCAGTGAAACTGGTCATGCAAGCATTTACCGTGCCCTGCTCTTCAAGCCTATTGTTTTGAATCCACAAAGTAGGGGGTGGGGAGTCAGTGCGCGAGGACTGGTCTGGGGAAGCCCAGCGCCCACTGCAGTGGCCTGGTGTCTGGGAGGAGCCCACCCCCTGCACGTTCCCTACGCTCCCTGCAGGTCCAGCAGAGGAGGCGCTCGAGGTCCCCCTGCTTGTCAAGGGGACTCAGGAGTTGAGCAAGGAAAATTATTTGGCCTCGTGAAGAATGGCACTCTAGCCCTGGCTGGTTTGACTCAGTGGATAGAGTGTCGGCCTGTGGACTGAAGGGTCCGGTTTCAATTTCAATCAAGGGCACATGCCTGGGTTGCGGGCTTGATCCCCAGTAGGGGGCATGCAGGAGGCAACCGATCAATGATTCTCATGACTGGATGTTTCTCTCTCTCCCTTTCCCTTCCTCTCTGAAATCAATCCTATATAATAAAAGCGTAATATGCTAAGTGTCTGACCCATTGGTCGACCGCTCAACCAGTTGCTATGACGTGCACTGACCACCAGGGGGCAGACACTCTGACCTATAGGTTAGCTTGCTTCTGGGGTCTGGCCAATCGGGACTGGGTGAGAGGGCCAGACACGCCCTGGAGTCCTCCCGTGGTCCCTCCCCTGCCGGCTGGCCCATCGTTGGCCCCTCGATCGGGACTGAGTGAGATGGCCCCGATCAGCCCAATCGCTGGCCAGGCCAAGGGACCCCACCCATGCACAAATCCGTGCACCAGGCCTCTAGTAAAAATATATTTTAAAAAATAGAAGCTGTAGCTGTCAAAACTTTAAAAAAAAGAATGTCACTCTAAGTGTTTATCTTAAATGTCTGGGATGCACGGTGGCCACCTCATGAAGATGTGTGGCAGGTGGCTCTCACGAAAAATACTGAGACCAGATCATCCATGTGGCAGTTTGGCAGAGGGATGACAGCTCCAAACTGGAACCGAACTGCTTTCCACACACTCCAGCAACCAGTGATGAGGGTGGCCAGTCCATGTGTGTGGTGAGTTTAAAGAGAAGGGCATGGTTTTGCTTGGTGTTTCATTTGTCCTTGGGCTGCTCAGTAGGGAACCACTGTTTTCAAGGAACCAACCCAATGTGGCTGGATTGGTTCAGACTTGTTTCATCCCTAGCTGTGAGTGCCTCTTGGTCTGGAAAGTTAGCTTGTCTCATAATACCCACAGCTAGGACAGTCTCTATGTAATTATGGAAACACACACATGATTAGTTTATTGATTTTTTAAAATATATTTTATTGATGTTTTACAGAGAGGAAGGGAGAGGGATAGAGAGTTAGAAACATTAATGAGAGAGAAACATCGATCAGCTGCCCCTTGCACACCCCCTACTGGGGATGTGCCCGCAACCAAGGTACATGCCCTTGACCGGAATCGAACCTGGGACCCTTCAGTCCGCAGGCCAACGCTCTATCCACTGAGCCAAACCAGTTAGGGCAGTTTATTGATTTTTTACAATCAAATACTGCCAACTAGCATTACTTCCACTCATACATCATTAAAAACAAAAGGATATTTCCTTGGTATTTTCCAATGACGCACCACACAATAAAGAAAGCTAGAACTTAAAATGCACCCTGATTAGTTATGGAAACTGGTAATTTTTTTAAAAAGTATAACTCATAATTTGGTTCTTCATAAAATGAAAATTTAAACATTTCTCCTGATAGTCTTGGGGTTATCATTACATTATGAGTAGTGCAAAGTGTGGCACCGAGTTTCATCTAGAAAGGTGTCTTACACACCTTAGTAAACAAGTGAAATGTGTGGAACAAAATGCACACGGTCAATGCATGTTTCAAATACAAGGCAGCCCCTCAGGCCACCATATTATTTAGGTTTTGCATTGTCTAGATTAATGACATATAACATATTTTATATATTTTAGCCCTGAAGATAAGAAAAATAATTGTTTCTTGAAAAAAATTACTCCAGGCAGCAATTTGGTTTGTATCAGGAGAAAGTGAACCTCTGAGAGTTTAGTGTCTGCCAAGTCTGGAGCCATTAACTCGAGTCAGTGAGTCAGACACACAGCTTATTTCACAGTGGCCGTTCCAAGTCCTGGCGATGCCTCCTGGCCACAGCACACCAGAGGGCAATGTGTCTCCAGCATTACCCTTGCTTTTCCATTTATTTTCTGGATTAACTGTATTATTTCCTCTTATTATCTCTTTTATGGTTTTACATTTCATTTTATTTTTTAAAGCTAGGTTTTTATTGAATTTAGAGAGAAAGGAAGGGAGAAGGATGAGAGAAAGAAACACCGTTGATGGGCTGCCTTCTGCATGTTCGCTACTGGGGATCGAGCCTGCAACTCAGCATGTGCCCTGACTGGGAATCGAAGCAGTGACCTCTTGGTTCATGGGTTGATGCTCAACCATTGAGCACACCGGCTGGGCTGGTTTTACATTTTAATTATTTATAAGTCCTTTCAGAATATCCTCAGAGAGCTCCTTAATAGAGGGGAAGTTCTGGAGATGGAAAATCCAAGGGAGGAAAATTGGGAATGGAATACCCTTGGCTGTCCCAGTATTTGCTGCAGACTTCTGCCAGGTTGAAGAGGATGTAGCAGTTTCTGAATGTGGCGGCAAGCTCCACAACTCTGACTTTTCTACAAAATCAGCATCTACCTGTAGCTCCTTTTCCACGGGGCCTTTTCAGCCTTTAGTTGTTTATCTTCTTTCCTTATACTGTCATTCTCAGCCATGAGGAATACCACATGCCTTTTCAAATCCGAAATTTTGGAGGCCTGATCCTCTATAATTGTTTTTATCATATTTTGGAGCTTTGCTTCCAATGCATGGCTCTATTGGCATTCTTCTTTTCTTTTCCCATTAATTTTTTAAAATCTTTATTGTTGGAAGAAACCAAGATGGCGGCGTAAGGTACAGACCTGTGCGTGCTGCCTCCCACAACAACATTGAAAATACCAACTATCAGACAAAACAGCTGTCATTCAGAACCATGGGAAAGCTGGCCCAGTGGAAGTTCTACAACTGGAAGGAAAGAAAGAAGAGCATTGAGACTGAGTAGGATATGCAGAGGCGCCAAGAACAGAGGTACGGAGCTGCGCGCCAGGTGGGCTGCAACTGGAGGCGCGGTTTTTTTCAATCGGAAGGGGGTTACAAACTTTCGAACCCACTGAGCTTGTTTGGGGCGGGATTCTGAGGTCCCAGACCCCTACGGGAGAGGCGGGACGGCCTTGCAGCGGGTTGGAAAGTGAGGGTGGCTTTCTCTCGGAGCTGCTCGCTGGCACTCGGGGACTCGGAGACTCGGAGTCGCGGAGAGGCGAGGAGTCGTGGAGACACCATTGCTGCTTGCTCCGCCCTGGTGATGCCCTGAGACCCTGCCCTACTCAATTTACATCCCCGCCCAAGCTGTGCCAGTGGCACAAAAGGCACCACCTGCGCTTTGCTGCTCAACCCAACAAACTGCAGATTTCAACTCCTCGCACCCACAAGGGGCCCACTCAAGAAGCAGAATCAGGTTCGGAGGAAGCCGGAGTCGGACCCGGCTGGGTCGGCAACATGGAACCGCTGTACCAGCAATTGCAAAGGAAGATTGTAGGGTGGCACCTCAACCCCAGGGTGACCTTCCCCCCCTGAGCATATCGCTGGTCATGTGATTTGGACCCTCTGACCTTTTCCCCTAGAGATAATATTTAGGCCTCAAGTTATATTTCAGCTCCAGGCCCAGAAAAGGAGCTAAACCAGACAAGCGACCCCACAGCTGACCTCAGGACCAGCTGCATTGGATAATGACCCTCTGCCCTGGTGCCGACCAATCAGTCAGTGGAGACCGAGACCCTGAAAGGCCACACCTGGAAAGCTGGTTTGGCTCCATGGTTGAGCATTGACCTATGAACCAGGAAGTCATGGTTTGATTCTTTGTGGGCTCAGTCCCCAGTGGAACCTGCAGGAGACAGCCAATCAATGATTCTCTCTCATCATTGATGTTTCTATCTCTCTCTCCCTCTCTCTTCCTTTCTGAAATCAATAAAAATATATTTAAAAAAAAACCACAAAACTGCCCAGACCTTGAGACTCTTGTCCTATGTGACACTTAGGTTGGACTTTTAAAATATATAATATATTTTTATTGATTTCAGAGAGCAAGGGAGAGGGAGAGTTAGAAACATCAATGATGAGAGAGAACCACTGATCAGCTGCCTTCTGCACACCCCCTACTGGGGATGGGGCCAGCAACCCGGGCGTGTGTCCTTGACCAAAATCGAAACCGGGACCCTTCAGCCTGCAGGCCAATGCTCTATCCACTGAGCCAACCAGCTAGGACAATGTTGTATTTTTTAATATAATGATTTTATAGGATTTAATTTTCAAATAGCTAATACACTCAGTTGACTCAAATATAGGGTGTCCCAAAATTCATGCAATATTTGCAATTCAATTCAATTGCAAATCTTGCATGAATTTTGGGACACCCTATATAAAAATACTAGTGGCCTGGTTGGTGCATGAATTCATGCACATTGAAAGGAAATTAATTAGAAGAAATATTTTAATATCGGTATTCGCCCTTTCTCTATAATAGAAGTATCAACCAAATTCACGATTGACAATGACAGATTGAAACACATGCACGCAGTTGGTGCCAGCAAGAGCTTTATATGTATTGCGCATAAGCGAGTCAACTTAGCCTTTCATAGATATAGAATAAACTTGCTTAATTAGACCTGCTTTCTGATGTAGCTAAACTTTTTCCAGCCGAGTGAAGCACCCCAACTTCTCTTTTAGGTAA